GGGGGGTCGAGAACATTTTATTGAAAAGCACTGTATGGGGGTTTCAAGAATATTTTGATAAAAAGTACTGTAAAGGTATTGGGGACTACATGGGGTATTGAAACACTTCGTATTGCTATAACATGGAAACGGTTGATATGAAACAGTCCATTTTAGAACGAGGAATAAGATGGGCAGAAATACTGTATTTTCTCCCAAACAAATGTCTGCTTGAGGTGGCGAAGCTATATACCTCATTTGCTCCCGAGCAAATGTCTGCCTTTCTAGTTTGAATTGCATCTCTATTAGTCTAACATAACGAAGAGTTTATTGCAAGTTCTTGCCTGAAGGCTAATTGTAAGTAACATGAATAGACATAGAACAATATTGCATCTAACTACTATAGCCTAAATATTTGACACTAATGTTAACTCTAATTCTAACTCTAATACAGTCTATATCTGACTCGGAATATATAGTTATGTTCCATTATATTCGTGCATATGCTGATATGAGGGTTTATGGAAGCCCACCATTTGCCTCTATCCTGTGGGTTCACCCTGTCCACATGTAAGTTGAGGTGGTGGAAATCCTCCTTCCTATTAAATGTAGTCTTGTTTAAACATTTACATGCTTTAAAATGCCATATAGATAAATAATCATGAGGTTTTACCTTAAGAAAATACCTCATTCTTTTCCAGGACCATCGTGCCTGCACATGCCCTCAATTCCCAATGAATTGTGAGTTTTGTGGAAAAAAGAAGATACCAAGGGCTCAGGTATGTTCGATAGGTCAATCCAGTTTGAAATTCTGTCTACCTGCCTAGGTTAGAAATCCCTAACACTAACAGTTTGTAAGGAAACGCAGTTCCCTTATTTGTTAAGATGTGTGCCTGTTTCACACCTACATTCAATGAAATGTCTTTCCTATGATAGATGAAGCAACATCTGGATGAAAACACTGGAGACTGCAAAAGGCTGAAGGTGGCCTGCACATTTGCTAAAGTTGGATGTCCCACAAAGGTTTGTTTGCAAATAAGCCATGGAGTCTCAATTGTCCAACAAAACTTGTTGTTATAGTACAATAACTCTCCAGACTGCAACCATTTTGGATGCATATGCAACAAACAATTACAAAATGCGACTGAAATTTTTACTCGCGTCTAGGCGCCCAGTGTGTGACCGGCAGTGAATTCGCTGTGCGCCTAAATTATTGCCTGCCAAATCTCGCCCTGGTGTCCTTGCGCCACACCGGCACAAAACCCTATACTCAAAAGCTCCCTACTTACGCGACGCATGCGCAAGGTCTCCGCATACACAATCTTTTGTTGTTGTACAGTCAGCTGATCTTGATTTGCTTAATCAAATTAAGGGAAGATCAGCTGACTAAGATTGGCGAATCGGAGCAGTGGATAGAAATGTTATACCGCAAGGAGGAAACATCATGATATATGATTGGTTAGAGGTTTAGAGCACCTTGCAGACAGCCAAATGCAAGAAGAAGCGCTCCATTAGGGATTATTTCGGGGCAGAATCACGACCACATTCGCCTCCAGCGCGCCGTTCTTGATCGGCCAGTCCAAACCGCGTGGATCTGATTCTCCCGGTCCTGACAGCACACAAAGCGTGTCACAGCAAAGGGAGAGGCGTTCAGACTTAGACACATAATTCTATTGGCTTGTAAATTAAACAAGTACTTTGTGCAAGCAGATATCTGTTTGCATGGCCAAATTTTTACCTGCGTGCCTGACTTTTCGAGGCTAGGAGCGCAGTTTGGAGGGTTGTACAATATATATGGAATTACTTTCCTCTCCATTATGTGTGATGCTCTTTGCATCCTTTTTGTTAATTTTGCTTGTTTGGATTCTCTAAATTGTTGATAACTAAATTTTTGCATCATCACAGCTGGAACGTGAGAAACTGAATGACCATATCGCCAAGCACCATGTTAATCACCTGAACCAGGTGCTGGACAAGCACTTGACCCTCATGCAAGAGTTCACCATCCTGAAACAGAGCGGGCAGGGGCAACACATGCAGCAGGCAGTCAGCAAGATGGATGCAGACATGAAGGCACTGTTTGATCGGATTGTTGCCATGGAAAACTTGGCATCACAGCTAGGCGTAGGCTCGGGGTCATCAGAGGTAACTAAGATGTTTGAAAATCGCTTGCAGCAGATGGCTAGTAAGCAGGAAGAGATGAGGCATAAGTATGTTGCTATGGAAACCAGAGTTGCTACTTTTGAGGGTATAGTTGCTGTTCTCAATCGTGAAATTGAGAAATGCTCCGCTACCATTGAAGCATACGAGCGACAGCGACGCCAGGACCGAGAGATCATTGAGTCCATTGAGCGTAAGATGAAGTCTCAAGAGCGAATCATCGCACTGAAAGACGTGGCCCTTGCTGAGCTGGATCTCCGTATCAGGTCACTGGAGATGACGTCCTATGATGGCACCCTGCTGTGGAAGATCCAAGACTTCACCAGAAAGCGCCACGATGCAATCACTGGTAAGACGACTTCTATTTACAGCCCATGCCTCTACACCAGCCGTACAGGATACAAGATGTGTGCTCGCATCTACCTGAACGGAGACGGGATGGGGAAGGGCAGTCACATCGGCCTGTACTTCGTCCTAATGAGGGGACACTTTGATGGTCTGCTGCGCTGGCCATTCCGGCAGAAGGTGACCTTCATGCTGCTGGATCAGAACAACCGAGAACACGTCATCGACGCCTTCCGGCCCGATCCAACCTCATCCTCTTTCAAGCGTCCAACAAGTGATTTGAATATCGCCAGCGGCTGTCCGCTGTTCATGCCACACAGTCAGTTGGAGAGTACGCGCCATGCCTATGTCCGCGATGATGCAATCTTCCTTAAAATCATCGTAGACACGTCGGATTTAAACTAAGGACTGCCACCTTGCCACATCCGAGGTGAATGGACAGACAGAGAGGTACACAGCTGGCCTGTTCAGCCATGTTGCTCAGGGCTGAAACATCACAGATCTACAAGTACATCATACAGATTCCTATGAAGATCTCTTGCAATGCAGGAGCTGACTTCTGTGTCAAGCAGATCAGATGGTACATGGAGCAGCAGCCCAAAAAGGTTGTCTCTAATTTTGAAGATGTTGGATTGGTCATATCCATATGTGATGTTTTGTTCAGGCCCTGGCAATGGTTGTCATGGTCACATACATGTACACCTCACTCTCTGTCTATTCCCCTTGGATGTGGCCACAGGTGGCAGACATCTCACACCAACAGGCTTTTAATTATAAGATAAACAGGACACAGATAAAAGTCGTAAGGAAATGTTTATTTCCTAATTGTGCAATGTATTCTGTGAAAGATTGGCAGCATCTTCTTGATGCTTCACCATTAACACATAAATTATATGTTACACTTTTACTTGAATATAGCTGTGTAAGGCAACATGTTACATCAAGTGGCAATGTGTACTCAATTAAAGAGCTTTATGATTTGCCTTGTATGTCCATAAGATGACATTGGAGTCCGTAAAGTGACAGAATGGCATGGGTAGAGCAATGAGCTATCTTGCATGTTATACTGTTACTTTACGGACTTTTTCCTTATGGACATACAAGCTAAGAGTTTGCATTTCAGTTTGACGAAATCTGTTGCTTTCCTTTACTATATTCTAGCCAGGTCATTTTTATTCTTATTGAATGGACAAGACCCTGTTAAACTACACATAAGAATGGCACTGGTCTGGCTTAACGCTAGTGGTACCGAGTGAGTTGCGTCCCCGGCGCGGTATCGGAAATGTTTTGACCACGTGGTAGGATTTGAAACCTATCTTTCCTCCTCCTTTTGTCATAATCAGATAGATATAGATTAATCCGTTAATTACATTTTATTGAGACATTTCAGGTGCTATTGAATGCATGATCAAAAGTTGCAGCTGTTGGACAAATATGATTAAATGCCTTCTGTAGTAGAGACATACCTTCAAACATTCTGCTCTTTTTTCAAGTCCTGTAGAGGATCAAAATAGCTAAATTTCCGCAGATGTTGCTCACCTTGCAATGCTTGTCAGTTTCATCAAGATTGCATCGTGAGCAAAATCTGACAATTCAATACAAAATGTAGGAATGAAACGACCCAACATCTAGTCTTAATCAGTAGCATTTTGCCTCATTTGCATGCAACCTTTGACACAGTAACTTCAACTTGTGATATTCTACAAGAAACGTCTTTTAAGTTATCCGCTCATCTTCAGCTTACCCCCCAAAGTCGTCATTTTTGTGATGACCTTATGTCTTGCTAGGGACAAAAAGGGTAAGGAAGTAAGATAAGAAAAGGAAGGACTATGACCATATGGTCTTGTTTCTTTTTTTTTTGTCTGATCAGCAATAAGATTGATATTTGCCGATCAGATGCCTGTTGGTGTGAGATATCTGTCACCTGTATGTTGGACCCCATGTTTTGGCTTTGTAGCACAGAAGAAACCATTGCTGTTTAAACTATCTTCAAGCAAAGAGGGACAAAAAGTCAGAAAGAAAGACAACATGGTATTGCACACAACACTACATCTGTACAACTTCCACAAGTGAAGACAAATGATATGTAAGCTGAAGTATGCCACTGATACCTGAACATTTCTGGAGATTTTCGTATGCCCCAAGCTACAACTGAACTTAATCCATGGCAAAGCTATATACTGAATGCACCCTACAACTGTTGAAGACCATGATTATAATGACCAGTTTTAGATCTGAAAATTAGCAGGTAAATATTAATCATTTTATTATTCATTAATGAAGCACATATTATCATCAAAATGATATTTCTTTGTACTTTAGGTTGGAAACAATGAAGTCATATTAAAGAACCCTAGGAGCAAACACTATAAGTATATGACTTTGGTTATGCATCATGCAATGTTGTTATCCATGTACAAGTATCTAGAGACAAGTGTAATTACCCTGCAGTTTATCAATACGACCTCAGCTCAGTCTCTAACTCAACAGTACTAATGAAACAACTACTTCCATGTCTATGAGCCTTGGGGTAGACTCCAACATCAGCTGATAAAGATAGTTGTGAATGTATGTATACCAGAACTGTATGCTGTCTTACTTCATGTACTCGCTTTGTCAGTTACATCTATGTGTTACCTAATGTCATTGCCTTCAGCTATAACTGTCCAAATCAATAGGGCACACACAGGTGTCAGCCCTTGGTATTAAAGTTTTACAAATTAAGTTATTAAGATACTGTCTGGTCACTCTGGTGCATAGCATAATTCAACACTGGATATTAATACATTATAAATTTTATGTGAACCAATTTGATGTGTTGGGTTGTTTAATTCATGTATCTTTGCTCAGAATATTCAAGTAGTATTAAAGGTTGACCTTATATCAGCATATAGTATATAACCAAGCTTTATCATACTTATGTTATTTTTTGCATTGCTGTTTAGCATTGATATGACTGCATAGTATTGGCATACATGGATTAAGCTTTATTAGTAATGTTTGCTCCACAGCTACAAAGGACACGTTTTTAACTAAAGCACTTTAATCAGCAATGTATATTTTGACTGCTGAAAAGTAGAATTTGTTTGTTTATGTTAGATGCACCAGAAAACATGATGTTAAAGAAAGAGTGCCTTGCATTGTTCACGTTTAGAAACAATAATATTATGGATAAGTGGTTATTTCTAATGTTCAATAGTAATTGTGTTTCCTTGTAATAAGATATATACAGTCAATGGAAACAAGTATTTGAATGACTAACGTGCGTGATTTTTTTTGGGGGGGGGGTGAAGACTTGTATGGTGGGGGTTAAATAAGACTCATATGGTATACTTGACCAAGATGATAATTTTGAGGACCATCAACCTTTAATGAAACGAAGACAAGAAAAGTTATATCTGATTTGTAATTATACAATGATTTTAATTGTTTGAAATATCACAAAATGACCCAGTTTAATACTTATCCCTCCTTGAAAATTGTAATTCATGAAACCTTGATGAGAGAGATGGGAATTTGGTCAATGTCTTTGGAGTGAAGAGATTCGTCAACCCAAAAGAGTGACCTTGAATAAAATGTAAGGGGAGAGTGCTGCTGCGTCAGCCATTGGACAACAAGTTTGTTTACTAAAGGTTACGGGTTGCTTAGTGAAACAGGTCCGGGTCGACTCCGTTGAACCACTTGTATAATAGTAATGACCGTACTGGGAGGATACATAATTGTATATTAGCCTCGTTGTGGTTGACCTTGGTACTACAGCATAATTTCCGGTTTTTGTATCTCTTTTCCTGAACATGCTATGCTTTTGATTTTATGGTGGCAGATGGCTTTTACTGTCAGGAATCAGTGGTGTGGGTTAGGTTTAGGTTTAGGGGTTAGGGTTAGGGTTAGGCCACACTGACTTAATTTTATGGATGACATCCGCGCGCGCATTAATTTTCGCCTGTTCTCAAAAAAAAAAAAAATCACGGCTCCTTCAAGGCTTCACAAAACTCCGGCAGTGCCTTCATTGCCGCTTGACGTAAAACGCTTTTACTATAGCAAATAAGGCAATTTCCCACATTTTGAGAGGCAAAGTAAGGGAAGTTTTCTGCTCATGCTTTTTTACGCCCAAGCTGCGTTATATCGACGCGGGCCGACCGTACCGCACAAATAAATTAAACTTTCCAGATACAGGAGAACCTGAAATCGACGTAAAGTTTGCAAAATTTGATCGATATTCATCCAGTCGCGGACCGCAAACAAGGACCAGGGCGTAAAGAACCTTTGAATTATGCTACATCCCGTTCTCTTATATAATAGTTGCTCTTTCTTCTGCAACTCACATCGTTACCCCGTTGTCTTGGAGAAAAAAATAACTCGAGTGACGACACGGCACGTGAATGCGTTGGGAGATTAAGCATGAGAACATGTAGCGTGTGCCGCCCGGAGTTATCGCGGTTAGAAGTGTTGGGCCTTAACTATGGCTCCCAATGACGACAATTTTCCCGATTTTTAAACCTAACCATGAGGATCGCTGGAAAGGTCTCGTTCCCAGGAGTTCAGAACCTAAGTCCGTTTTTGAATATCAGGTCTCCTACTGTAGTTATCGCGGTTAGAAACGTTGGGCCTTAACTATGGCTCCCAATGGCGAAAATTTTCCAGATGTTTAAACTTGCAACCCTGGGGCTCGCTGGAAAGGTCTCGTTCCCAGGATTCCCACCGGGCAGTACATTAAGGAAGCTTTGAGGAAGCAATCGGTGGGAAAGAGCTGAACACAAATGCGATCAGCTGACCTCATAGTTGTCTTTCGGTGGTCCCAAGAGTGGTCAATCGGTAGTCAGCTATTTCCCTCCCGAGGCTGCTTTCATTACGCCCCAAGCCTGCCGTATTTCCTACCCACCCGAGAAGTGGCATCACCCACCCCAGCTGCTCGTTTCCAAGCTGAAGGGGATTCCCCTTGGCCGGGACTTTCCGTGGTGTGACATTTTAGTCAGTAAATTTCCCACCGTTTCCTGCAGGTTCGTCCAAACTTCCTCTCTTCTCTGCATCGGATCAACAGAGCAGGTGATTCTTCAGTTCATAAGGCAAGTTTTGTTCGTCTAAATAGAAGGCCTAGGCATTCCAATATATGACCTCATCAGCATTGGGATATGACTTATGTACCACGCCATGTGTAAAGTTTGTTTTTGTGCAAGGAAGGGACGTTTGCTGAGTCAGTGGGATATTTCAAGGTTAAAATGAAAACAGAAGATTATAAATTATCTGATGTTGATAATTTAATAAACAATAAGAAGGAAACTGTTATAACATCATTGTTTTAATTTGAATCATGTTTAATTTTACTATATAGCTTACATTGGTTACGTACATCTTTGCTTGAATTCAGCATTTACCCACATTGTCGAGTAACCAACAGTTATCAA